TGCCTCTTGGCTCAAGTAGACACAACAGACTAAATGGGCAGCTTCTGTCTGGAGGTGAGATGGGAAGGCAGAGACGGTTAGGAGCTGGCTGAATGGACATGGGGAATCGGGTGGAAAGGAGGCATGTGCTGTCACAGTATGGGGAGAGCAATTAGGGTCACATAACAGTGTATGTATAAATTTTTGTATGGAAGACTAACTTGAAATGTAAACTTCATTTAAACTACAACAAAAAAAATTTTTTAAAATAAAGGATCATAACATATTTATAGGAAAAAAATAAAGGGAAGGTTAAGTTATTGCATCTGGTGCCTCCCACAACTAAAAAGGAGACAAAATGCCTAGTGTGCTTCTTTGGATTTTGGAGGCAGCATACCCCTCATTTGGGTGTCCTACTCCAGCCCATTTATCAAATGACTCGAAAAGCTGCTAGTTTTGAGAGGGGCTCAGAACAAGAGAAGGCTATGCAACAGGTTCAGGCTGCCATGCAAGCCACTCTACCACTTGGGCCATATGATCTGGCTGATCCAATGGTTCCTGAAGTAGCAGTGGCAGATAGAGATGCTGTTTGGCATCTTTGGCAGGCCTCTATTAGTAAATCGCAGTGCAGACCCTTAGGATTTTGGAGTAAAACTCTGCCATACTTTGCAGATAACTACTCTTGTTTTGAAAAACAGGTTTTGGCTTGTTACTGGGCCTTAGAAGAGACTGAATGCTTAACCATGGGCCACCAAGTCACCATGTGGCCTGAGCTGCCCCTCATGAACTGGGTGTTGTCTGACCCACAGAGCCATAAAGTTGGACAAGCACAGCAGCACTCCATCATTAAATGGAAATAGTATATACGAGATCGGGCCTGAGAAGGACCGAAGGCACAAGTAAGTTGCATGAGGAAGTGGCCCAAATTCCCACGGTCTCCACTCCTGTCACATTACCTTCCATCTTCCAGGCTGCACCTATGACCTCATCGGGAGTTCGTTATGATCAACTGACTGAGGAAGAGAAAACCTGTGCCTGGTTTACAGATGGTTTTGCACGATATGCAGGCACCACTTGAAAGTGGACAGCAGCAGCACCACAGCCCCTTTCTAGGACCTTCCTGAAGGACAGCAGTGAAGGGAAATCCTCCTAATGGGCAGAACTTCAAGCAGTGCACCTGGTTGTTCACTTTGCTTGGAAGCAAAAATGGCCAGATGTACGACTGTATACTGATTCATAGGTTGTGGCCAACGGTTTGGCTGGACGGTAAGGGACTTGGAAGGAACATGATTGTAAAACTGGAGACAAGGAGGTATGGGGAAGAGGTATGTGGACAGACCTCTCTGAATGGGCCAAAGAAGTGAAGATATTTGTATCTCATGTGAATGCTCACCAAAGGGTGGCCTCAGCAGAGGAGGATTTTAACTATCAAGTGGATAGGATGACGCGTTCTGTGGAAACCAGTCATCCTCTTTCCCTAGCCACTCCTGCCACTGCCCAATGGGCTCATGAACAAAGCAGCCATGGTAGCAGGGATGGAGGTTATGCATGAGCTCAGCAACATGGACTTCCACCCACCAAGGCCAACTTGGCTACAGCCACTGCTGAGTACCCAATCTGCCAGCAGCAGAGACCAGCACTGAGTCCCCAGTATGGCACCATTCCTCGAGTTCATCAGCCAACAACCTAGTGGTAGGTTGATTACATTGGACTGCTTCCATCATGGAAAGGAGTGTTTTGTTCTTATTGGAATAGATGCTCTGGACATGGATTTGCCTTCCCTGCACACAATGCTTCTGCCAAAACTACCATCGGTGGACTTATAGAATGCCTTATCCACCATCATGGTATCCCACAGAGCATCGCCTCAGATCAAAGGACTTACTTTACAACAAATGAAGTCTGGCAATGGGCCCACGCTCATGGAATTCACTGGTCTTCCCACATTCCCCAGCATCCTGAAACAGCTGGCTTGATAGAACAATGGAATGGCCTTCTAAAGACACCATTATGGTGCCAGCTAGGTGACAATACCTTGGAGGGTTAGGCCGGTGTTCTAGATGCAGCTGTATATGCTCTAAACCGGTGTCCGATATAGGTCCAAAATATGTTTCTACCATAGCCAGGATTCATGGGTCCAGGAATCACAGGGTAGAAATGGGAGAGGCACTACTACCCATTACCCCTAGTGACTCACGCGCAAAATTTCTGCTTCCTGTCCCCATGACCCTATGCTCTGCAGGTCTAGAGGTCTTAGTGCCAAAGGGAGGAATGCTCTCATCTGGAGATACATCACTTATTCCATTGAACTGGAAGTTAAGAATGCCACCCGGCTATTTTGGGCTCTTTATGCCTCTGGATCAACAGGCAAAGAAGGGACTTACCATATTGGCTGGTGTAGTTCATCCTGATTACCAAGAAGAAATTGGACTGATATTACATAATGAAGGTAAAGAAAAGTATGTCTGGAATGCAGTAGATCCCTTACAACATCTCTTAATACTACCGTGCCTTGTGATTAAAGTCAATGGAAAACTACAGCAACCCAATTCCAACGTGAGTACTAATGGCCCAGACCCTTCAGGAATGAAGGTTTGGGTCACCCCTCCAGGCAAAGAACCATGACCAGCTGAGGTGCTTGCTGAAGGCAAAGGGAACATGGAACAGGTGGTAGAAGGTAGTTTTAAATACGTTACGACCACGTGACCAGTTGCAAAAATGAGGCCTATGATTGTTATGAGTATTTTTTCCTTGTATGTGTGCATCAAATATTTTTGTATTTTTCACTTATAAAATACAAGATATAAACAGGGCCAGCACATTTTTGGTTGTACGCATGTTAGCTGTATCATGTTAGGTGCAAGTATAACTTTGTCTTTATTCAGACATTATGTATGGTTTATGGAGATGTGTACAGCTGCCAGGTTGATGAGGTGAGGGCTGTGATCATTAAGGTTGTGTGTCAACTTGGCTAGGACATGATTCTCACTGGTCTGGTAATTATGATATAGTTTGGCAGTTGTATCATGATATAATCACCTCCATGAGGGGATCTGATATAATGTGATCACCTCCATGATGGGATTTGCTGTGTGTAGACAATCAGTTGAAAGGGAATTTTCTTGGGGGTGTGGCCTGCATTGAATATATAAGTGGACCTTCTGGCAAGACCTGTGGGTTTTTGCTCACTCTGGATCCTGCAGCTGGCTCCTGTTCGTCTGACCTCTGGTTCTTGGGACCTGAGCTAGCAGTTTACCCGCCAATCTTGGGATTCGTCGGTCTCTGCAGCTTGTGAGCCAGGAGAAGCATTCAGTCTGACCCATGGACTTGGAACATTCCAGCCTCTACAACCACCTGAGCCATTTTCTTGGTACAAATCTCTATGCATATTTATATGCTTTACTGCTTTTGCTTCTCTAGAGAACCCAGCCTAAGGTGCCCTCTTACCTAAACTTCTTGCAAGAGTAGTTTACTTTTCCTCCCCCTCCATTCATGCCTCAGCTCACTGCAATCTCCTGTTGGCCTCATGACATCAAAGAAATCACTCACTAGTTACCAATAACCTCCAATACTTAACGAACCCAACAGATATTTTTATTTGTGTATTCATCCTGAACATGCTACCCAGAATACCTTGTCCCTCTCTTTTATTTGCCTGCTTCCTACAACGAACTGTAAAAATTCAGCTCAGGCATCACATCTTCCAGGAAGCTTTATCTGATTCCCCATGTGGGGCAAGGTGTCCTCTTTATTCCTTCAGGATACACCCTGCACATATCTTTTTCTCATCGTACTACACACTGCAGTATAGACTACAATGACAGAGTGTAACTCTCTGTTGATGAGCTCCTAGAAAGCAGGGCTGTTTGGTATTGGGGTGACTATATGTTCTAGTCTGCATGGGACAGTTTGGTTATGCCTCTTTTTCATTCCCCAAAATGTTATGGATTAGTTGATATATTATATGGTTACCCTATTACCCACTTTATAACCTCAGTGGCTAGTACAGTGGCACACACAAAGTAGGTGCTTATTATGGATTGAATCGTGTCCCCTAAAAATGTGTGTCAACTTGGGTAGGCCACGGTTCCCAGTATTGTGTGATTGTCCACCATTTTGTCATCTGAAGTGATTTTCCCATGTGTGGTAAATCCTACCTCTATGATGTTAATGATGCAGGATCAGAAGCATTATGTTAATGAGGCAGGACTCTATCTACAAGATTAAGTTGTATCTTTTTTTTTTTTTTACATTTTTTTCCCCCTGGACGTCTTTTTTAATTTTTTATTGTACTTTAGATGAAGGTTTACAGAGCAAACTAGTCTCTCACTAAACACAATACACATATTGTTTTGTGACACTGGTTGCCAGATTAGGTTGTATCTTGAGTCTATCTCTTTTGAGATATAAAAGAGAGAAGCAAGCAGAGAGACAGGAAGACCTAATACCACCAAGAAAGCATCACCGAGAACACAGCACATCCTTTGGACCTGGAGTTCCTGTGCTGAGAAGCTCTTAGACCAGGGGAAGATTGATGACAAGGACCTTCTCCTAGAACCAACAGAGAAAGAAAGCCTTCTGCTAGAGCTGGCACCCTGAATTTGGAGTTCTAGCCTCCTAAACTGTGAGAGAATAAATTTATCTCTATTAAAGCCATCCACTTGTGGTATTTCTGTTACAGCAGCACTAGATAACTAAGACAGGGCTCAATAAAAGTTGTTGAATAAACTGGGTGCAAATTAGATGGTATTCTTTGCTTCTAAAGTTCCATTCAAACCTGAACTGTTCTGTAATTTTAAGCATAAAAAACAGATTTTGGCTAAATTTTACTCTAGTGAACAAAAGCGAATTATTTACTAAAGTGAAGGAAACACAAACTCCAGTGTAAAAATAACAGTTAACTGACAAAAATACAAACTTCATTATGACATTGTATATTTCTCATGCCACAATAACCATAACCCTCCCAATTTTGCTGATCAGAACATCAATAAAAGAATAAACATCTAATAAACTCTTACTTTTCCAAAGGGTCAGTCATTTTTTTCAAGTTTCTTTTGAATCGTAAGGCTTGAATATCTTGTGTCTCTATTTTGGGAGGTAGAAGTCCTTGAAGGCCAAGCATTTGTCGTTCCTGTAATGTAAATGCCATTCCCTAAAGAGGAAAAATAAAATGATTAAAAATTATTACTTGCTGGACTAACAATGATGCTGTCCTTTAAAATCTAGTTTAAATGTAAATTTTTAAAAACCAATTTTTTTCTGCCATTTTTTCCCATATTTCCTAAAATTTATGAGATTGATAATATCCAACATTGGTGAGGGTGTGGTAAAAGAAGTACTCTCACATATCATTGCTGGGAGCATAAGCTGGTTAAGGCTTTTTGGAAGACAATTTTAAAGTATACTTAATTTTTTAATGCACATACTCTAAGTCAAGCAATTCTATTTCTAGATAACCATCCTAGAGAAACAGTCATATATGAAGTAAAGTAGCTTTACATATAAAGAGATTAGTTGTATAACTGTTTCTAGTTCTAGTTGTTACAAACTAACTACAAGTCTATCAATTATGGAATAGTTAAAGAACCTATGGTACATTCAAACCAACACCATGTAAGAGTTAAAAATAGAATGTGATCAATGTATCTATAAGTATATAGTAGAAAGATCTCCAAGACACACTGTTAAGAGAGGAAAAAAAAAGCAAGTTGCAAATCAAAACACCCAGTTATGCCATTTATGTTTAGAAAACCTACACAAAATAAACTACACACATGCATGCATATATTATAAATGAAATCAACAGAATACATTTTGAAAGAATACAAACCAACCTGATAACAGAGGCCACCTCCCTAGAAAGGAACGAAGTTGACAAAGGGAAAGTCAAGGAAGGACAAGCGATACTTAAGAAAAAAATTAATCTGTATCATAAGAAAATCTTTTCTGATTTGTGGTATTCAGCTGTCAGTTAAATTCTCTGTATTGAGGTGATGTTAGTGAAAAGGCAGAGTAATAAGGTCTTTAAAAAAATCTTTTCCTCAATAAAAGCAAGAACAGTACTGGCAAAATTGTCGGAATCAACTTTTTCACAACTCTGGAAATTAACCAAAGGCTTGCAGCAATCCAGGAATTATTTATTCAAGAAAAACAGCGGAATCTTGGTAAGAACAGCAAGTTTTATGGCATTTTACCTTGCCCTATTACCATTCCTCCCCCCCCCAGCTCCTAGGTAGCCTTGAAAACTAACAATTACTGTGAAAATCAGTAGCCTAGTAGCCACGGGAGGGAGCATTCCCAGGGAACTGTCATTACTTGACCTGTTGGTTCCCTGGAAGACTCCATTTGCAAAGCTGCCTTTATTTGACCTGATTCCTAGCTTGTCCACTGTGAACAGCCTTTTCCTCAAGACGTGTTTGTTGAAAACAATCAAAGGCAATTATTTAACATGGCAGCTGCCTGAGGTGGTGAATAACAATGGAGGTTAGCAATGGAGGTAAACAATAGGCTAACCAAAAAGCTTAAAAGGAAAACTAGGGAATGAGATATCCACAGGGGGTTTTGAAAAGCTCTGACATAGGAATCTAGAAGGCCATGTGCATGAGTAGAGCTGTGGGCATGTCCAGGAAAGACCTGAGAAGGCTCTAAGCTCTCATCTCTGGCTAACCCTGAGGCCCTGGGCAATCAAGAAGTGTAGCTGTAAACTGCCTGACCCAGTGCTGAAGGTGTGCCCCAACATGCACACAGAGCTGCTTGGCAAAGACTGCAGTCTCACTGGTTCAGGCCTTTAAGGAAATCTCTGTCTAATCATTAGCTGATCACTAACCTAACCAAGCAGAGACATTAATCCTAGCCATACACGACATGAACACAAACTTTAAAGAATTAGTTCAATCACAAAACAAGCAACAAGAAGTAACAACAATGACAAAACTTGGGAGAGGCAAGCATCTGAGTTCCAGAACTGCCACATTATATTATTTTAAATGCCCAGTTTTCAACAAAAAATTATGAGACATGAAAAGAAACAGAGCAGTCTGGTCCATACTTAGGGAAAAAAGGTAGTTAATAGAAGCAGGCCCTGACGAGGCTCAGACATTAGGCTTATTAGACAAAGACTTTAAACCTGCTATTTTAAATATTTTCAATGAACTAAAAGACACTATACCTAAAGAACTAAGGGCAAGTATGAGAATACTATCTCACAAAATAGAGAATATCAATAAAGAGATGAAAATTATAAATAGAAATTCTAGGATTGAAAAATACAATAACTGAAGTAAAAAAATTCACTAGAGGGGCTCAACAGCAGATTTGAGCAGGTGGAAGAAAGAATTGGCAAATTTAAAGAGGCCAATTGAGATTATCCAGTCTGAAAAACAGAAAGAAAAAATAGTGAAGAAATACAAATAGAGCCTGGAAGACCTGTGGGACACCATCAAATGTACCAACATATGCATAATGGGAGTTCCAGAAAGAAAGCTGAGAGAGAAAGGGACAGAAGAATATTAGAAGAAATTAATGGCCTAAAACTTCCTAAATTTGATGGGAAAACAATCTACACATCCAAGAAGTTTACACTTTAGATTCAAAAGTGATACACAAATGGGTTGAAAGAAAAAGGATGGAAAAAGATGTACCATGCGAACAGTAAGAAAAGAGCTGAGGTGGCAATTCTAATAACAGACAAAATAGACTTTAAAATAAAAATTGTTACTAGAAACGAAGGATTTTAATAATGAAAGGATCAATCTACAAGAAGATACAACAATTATAAACATATATGTACCTAACAAAAGACTCTCAGAATCCATGAAGCAAAAACTGACAATAGTGAAAGGAGAAATAGGCAATTTGACAATCATAGTTGGAGACTTCAATACCCTACTTTCAATAATGGATAGAACAACTAGACAGAAGATCCACAAGGAAAAAGAAGACTTGAACACTATAAACAATATAAACCAACCAGAACTGACATCCACAGAACACTCCATCCAACAATAGCAGAATACACACTCTTCACAAGTACACATGGAATATTCTCCAGGACAGACTGTGTATTAGGCCAAAAAACAAGTCTCATTAAATTTAAAAGGATTGAAATAATTCACAAGTATGCTCTACGATTACAATGCAATAAAATTAAAAATCAATAACAGAAGGAAATCTGGGGATTTCACAAATATGCGGAAATTAAATAACAACTCCTAAATAACCAATGGCTCAAAGAAGAAATTACAAGGGAAATTAGAAAATAATTTGGGATGAATTAAAACAAAAACACAACATACCAAAACTTATGGGATGCAGTAAAGGCAGTACTTAGAGGGAATTTATAGCTGCAAATGCTTATATTTAAAAAGCAGAAAGTTCTCAAATCAATAACCTAACCTTCCACCTTAAGAAACTAGAAAAAGAGCAAACTAAACCCAAAGCAAATAGCAGAAGGAAACAAGAAAGATTAGAGAGAAAAGAAATGAAACGAAGACTAGAAAAACAACATGAAAAAAAGTCACTGAAACAAAAAGTTAGTTTTTAAAAAAAAAATCAACAAACCTTTAGCTAGACTGATCAAAAAAAAAAAAAAAAAACAGCGAGAATAAAACTCAAATTACTAAATCCTTCGTGTCTCATGTTTCCCTTCATGAGATTTTATCCATGGTTAAGAGCTACAGTGAGCTACGACTGCTAACCAAAAGGTCGGCAGTTCTAATCCACCACCTGCTCCTTGGAAGCCCTATGAGGCAGTTCTACTTTGTCCTATAGGGTTGCTATGAGTCGTAACTGACTCTAAGGCAACGGGCTTTAAGAAATATAAAGTGAAACCAAAGTGTCACCCTTGCTTCCTTTTTCCAACTCCAGGAAATCACTAGAGTAAAACTGCTATTTATGTTTAAATGAACTATGTATTTCATTTAAAACTGCTATCCCTATCCTTACTGCTGAAGATAAATGAGTTGGTCACACAAGGTTTCACTGTCTATCTCCTATTTAGATTTAAGGGACACTCAAAGCGTTTTATTTACCATGCAGGGTAAAAGATAAATAATTTTAATGTAATTGGTATTTATGTTAATAATTGAATCTGTTAGCTAGAACCAAATACTAGAAGTTGGTGTTAATAAGTGAACTAAGCCTGCAAAGAAGACAGTTTAAAATGAACGCCTTGATTAGTTCTTTAACATTCAGCAGAAATAATCTTCCTCTCAACTGCCCTTCTACTACTCTTCTCTGCATCTCCCTGTGCCACTTCTCCCACCAAAAGTATGCCTTTTTCTCATCTATGCCCCAGCAATGACTTCCAATTTACATAGTAGGGGTTTACCTCCTTCAGCTGATCCTGAAAGATCCTCTGAGCTATTCTCCTTTAGTCACATGCTGTTTCTCCACATAAGTCAATATTGATAAAAATCCCTTAACTAGACTCTTGAATGTGCAGATAAGCATGCCAGGCAGATATTAATAGGCCCCTTCTATTCCTTTTCCTCCAAAGTGCAGTTAGAATAATCTGTCAGGGATTAGGAAATAACCAAACACTTATTTTAAAAACTATTCGAGTAATGGTTTATAATGTCAAAATTGTAAACAATATTCCACAATGGGTCCTGGCTAACTAAGTTATAAACATCACCTGAAGGGAATAAGAAATCATACTGCCATTGCATTTTACAGTGCATAATGCAGATTTATAGTTTATTCTTTTCTCTACAGCAACCAAGATGAGGAAATCGGGGTTAAAAGAGGTTATATATAGTTTAATATCACACAAGCAGTAAGGGGTCAAACTGGGACACTCAACAGTCTTTGTGATTCCAAATCTATCCGCTAAACCATTATGTAATTGTATATTATAAAGCTTATGAAATATCATGGAAACATATTTGTAATATACTTTTCTCAGTGGTAAAATAGCATATAAAACTGTATCTATACAACAATCTTAAAAGTAAGTGTACTTTAAGGGAGTCATCATAAAATAAAAATAGGTGTATGTGACATTGGTAGAAACATGGTAATTTTTCTTTCATTCCCCTGCCAAAAAAAAACCCAAACTCATTGCCGTCGAGTCGATTCTGACTCATAGAGACCCTATATGACAGAGTAGAACTGTCCCATAAGGGGTTTCCAAGGAGCAGCTGGTAGATTCGAACTGCCAACCTTTTGGTTAGTAGCTGAGCTCTTAACTACTACACCACCAGGGCTCCTTTCTTTTATTAGTTACAATATCATTTAAATAAGAATAAGAAGAAAAATCTGAATCAGCTTATCTATTAGAGAACTAGGTTGGGAAAGTTAAAAGCCAATATACAAAAACCCTCACAGGACTGAGAATCAGAAAAGAAGAGCTCTAAATATAAAGTTTGGGCAAATCATTAAACCTCTTAGGGTTTAAGTTTCCTAATCCGTAAAGTGAAGGGGTTATTAATTCTCTTTTTCAACACTCCTTCTCCAATTAAATTAATGGTTTGCACAGGCACTTGATCTTTACTGCTAATAGTCTATGGTTCTGTTATTCAAATTTGCATGAAACAAATCATAATCTGTAGTAGTATCTCTTCATAACCTTCCACCTTGAAAAAAAATTTGGTTTAAAAGAGACGTTCACTAATATTATGGAATGAATCAGGAAAACAGAAAATATAAATGGCAGGAGACTTTGAGAATTATTTGTTGATGGCAATGATAGTCAATTTTTTTTTTTAATTTTAGAAGAACTCCTACATATTTAACACCCACACCACTTCCTCAATGAAAATGTTTTCTCTCCTGCTTATCTCTCTTGATAAGGCAGGAAGCACGTGAAGAAAAGGGAAAGAGCATGCAGTACAGAGTCAGCCCATCTTGTAACCAAGCAACTACTTACAGTTTTACAGCTGTAATCATAATAAGGCCCCACCCTGAATATTCCCCAGATTTCCTGTTCGAGAAACACTGCTCTAGGTAAGCATTATTAAAATGTAGAATAAAACATCAGTTATAATAACCTCTGTTGCTGTTGGATGCCAATGAGTCAGTTCTGAGTAATAGCGACCCTACGTACAAGAGAACGCAACACTGCCCAGTCCCGTGCCATTCTCACAACCGTTGCTGTTTGAGCCCACTGTTGCAGCCACTGTGTCATTCCATCTCGCTGACCCTCTACTTTACCAACCATGATGTTCCTTTTCCAGGGACTGGTGCCTCCTGATAACATGTCCAGAGTACATGAGAAGAAGTCTCGCCATCCTCGCTTCTAAGGAGCGCTCTGGCTGTACTTCTTCAGAGACAGATTTGTTCGTTCTTCTGCCAGTTCATGGTATATTCAGTATTCTTCACCAAAAGCATAATTCAATGGCATCAATTCTTCTTCAGCAATTCTTTTTCACTGTCCAGTTTTGGCATACATATGAGGTAACTGACAATACCATGGCTTGGGGTCAGGCACACATTAGTCCTCGAAGTGACATCTTTGCTTTTTAACACTTTAAAGAGATCTTTTGCAGCAAATTTGCCTGATGCAATGTGTCGTTTGGTATCCTGACTGCTGCTTCCATGGGCGCTGACTATGGATTCAAGTAAAATGAAATCCTTGACAACTTCAGTCTTTTCTCCATGTATCATGATGTTGCTTTTTGGTCCAGTTTTGAGGATTTTTGTTTTCTTTATGTTGAGGTGTAATCCATACTGAAGGCTGTAGTCTTTTACCTTCATCAGTAAGGGCTTCAAGTCCTCTTCATTTTCAGCAAGCAAGGTTGTGTCATCTGCGTATCGCAGGCTATTACTGAGTCTTCCTCCAATCTTGGTGCCATCTTCTTCTTCATATAGTCCAGCTTCTTAGACTATTTGCTCAGCATACAGACTAAATAAGTATGGTGAAAGGATACAACCCTGACACACACCTTTCCTGATTTCAAGTCATGCACTATCCATCCCCTTGTTCTGTTGGAACGACTGCCTCTTGGTCTATGTACGGGTTCCGCAGGAGCACAACTAAGTGTTCTGGAATTCCCATTCCTCGCAAATTTATCCATAATCTGTTATGATCCAGACAGCCAAATGCCTTTGGTAGTCAATAAAACACAAGTAAAACATCTTTCTGGTATTCTCTGCTTTCAGCCAAGATCCATCTGACACCAGCAATGATATCCCTCGTTCCACGTCCTCTTCTGAATTCAGCTTGAATTTCTGGCAGTTCTCTGTTGATGTACTGTTGCAACCACTTTTGAATTATCTTCAGCAAAATTTTATTTGCATGTGATTATTCATGATATTGTTCAATAATTTCTGCATTCTGTTGGATCACTTTTCTTTGGAATGGGCACAAAGATGGATCTCTTCCAGTCGGTTGGCCAAGTAGCTGTCTTCCAATTTTCCTGGCTTCCTGCATTGCATCTGTTTACTGAAACATCTCAACTGGTATTCCATCAATTGTTTTTTGGCAATGCCTTCAATGCTGCTTGTACTTCTTCCTTCAATACTATTGGTTCTTGATCATATGCTACCTCCTGAAATGGCTGAACATTGACCAATTCTTTTTGGTACAGTGACTGTGTATTCTTTTCATCTTCTTTGGATGTTTCCTACATCATTCAATACTTTGCCCATAGAATCCTTCAATATTGCAACTTGAGGCTTGAATTTTTTCTTCAGTTCTTCAGCATGAGAAATGCCGAGCACATTCATTCCTTTTGGTTCTCTAACTTCAGGTCTTTGCACATTTCATTATAATACTTTACTTTGACTTCTCTAGCCGTCCTTTGAAATCTTCTCTTTAGCTCTTTTACATAACCATTTCTTCCATTTGCTTTAGCTACTCTATGTTCAAGAGCAAGTTTCAGAGTCTCTTCTGACATCCATTTTGGTCTTTTCTTTCTTTTTAATGAACTTTTGCTTTCCTCATGTATGATGTCCTTGCTGTCATCTCACAACTCATCTGGTCTTTGGTAATTAGTGTTCTGTGTGTCAAATCTATTCTTGAGATAGTCTCTAAATTTAGGTAAGATATACTCAAGGTCATACTTTGGCTTTCATGGACTTGTTTTAATTTTCTTCAGCTTCAGCTTGAACTTGCATAAGAGCAACTGATGGTGTGTTCCACAGCTGGCCCATAGCCTTGTTCTGACTGATGATACTGAACTCTAAAAACTTTAAATCCGCACTGAAAATGAGGATCCAATTACTTTCCCATTCCTCTGTGCTTCAACTCAATATTTATTAATACTCATTTTATACTTTAAAGCACATTTTTTCCTAAATCTTTAATCCTTTTATAAGTTAATACAAGATATATATTCTAAGACAGTAATAAAAATAAGACAGCTTTTCAGACACTCTAACACTGATTTGGGTTTGTGATGAGAAATGGGAGAAAGAAGGCAAACAATTCAGGAGAGCGAGTCCATTTAAATCATATTTCCTTAACTTCAATATGAATAGGCACTAGACAGACAACTTTTCACTAATAAAAGATAGTCCAGGAAGATTCAAGTGCTTATTTAGTTTTCTGAAAATGTGTTAAATGAGATGAAATTCCACTGAAATGGGCAAACTCTAGCTAAGTGGCAAGATCACATCAGATGTTCTAAATGGCTTATGTTGCTTTGGTATTGGAACTAAATCTTATTAAACTGAACACATAGTTAAATTACAAATAAAATATGCTCATCAACTAAAAATATTTTTGATGTAACTTATAATTCTTACTTTTTTGAAAGACTATAACCATATATCTTAATTAAATAGCATTTCATAGAATGAAATGGCCTCAAGGAAAACACAAAAAATAATTTTCTGGTCTAGTTAGCACACTGGGAGTTGTGAATGTGTATTTTCTTACTTTTCAAGAGTAGATAACAACAATCCAGCTGAATCCAAAACTCCCTCGCTGGAAACAAAACCTGTTTAATTATTTACCTAAACCAGCAGCACCAATCACTTCAGGCTTGGTTTTTCTATCTGTTCATTTGTTTACTCACCCATCCATCTATTCAACATGTACTAGGGCTCTGTGTCTTCTCAGTAGTATGCTAAGGTGAAGAGGATATAGAGATAAGCCAAGGTCTTTGTCCTCAATGAGGTCACAGTCTTTTGGAGGAGTTAGGTAATTCCAACAGAGTATGATAAATGATAATGATTGAGAGAAGCATAAGAACGCTAAGAAAACATATTAGAAGAGGTAAATCACCCCTCACTCACCAGTGTGGAAGAGAAGTGGGGGAGAAGGGTTGGGGGAAACCTCCTATAGGAAAAGATGCAGAATTGAGTTTTAAAAATTTATTTTAAAAGTTAGGCAAATGAACTGCTGGTGGGAATATAAAATGCTACAACCACTTTGGAAAACAGTATGGTGCTTCCTCAAAAAGCTAGAAATAGAAATACCTCATGATCCAGCAATCCCACTCCTAGGAATATACCCAAGAGAAATAAGAGCCATCACACAAATAGACATATGGACACCCATGTTCATTGAAGCATTATTCACAATAGCAGAAAGATGGAAGCAACCTAAGGGCCCATAGACAGATGAGTGGATAAATAAATTATGGTGCATACACACAATGGAATACTATGCAAGGATAAAGAACAATGATGACTCTGCGAAACATCTCACACCATGGATGAATCTGGAGGGCATTATCCCGCTTGGAGCAAAGGAGAACCAAGAAAACCAAAGACACAAGGAAAATATTAGCCTAAGACATGAAAGGACCACATGAACCAGAGACTCCACCAGCCTGAGAACAGAACTAGACGGTGCCTGGCTACGACCAATGACCGCCTTGACAGGGAACACAACAGAGTCCCGGAAGGAAAGGGAGAAAAGTGTGGAACAGAACTCAAAGTCACATAAAAAGACCAGCCTTAATGGTCTAACAGAGACTGGAGGAATCCCTAAAACTCTGGCCCCCGGATACACTGTTAGCCCAGAACTGAAACCATTCCCAAAGCTCACTCTTCAAAGATTAGACAGGACTATAAAACAAAAAATAATACACGTGAAGAATGTGCTTCTTCTTAGTTCAATGAGATACACAAGACCAAATGGGCGGTCCCTGTCCAGAGGCAGGATAAGAAGGCAGGAAGGGACAGGAATTGGTCAAATGGACACAGAGAACCTGGAGTGGAAAGGGGGAGTGTGATGTCACATTGGGGGATTGCAACTAATGTCACAAAACAGTATGTGTATAAATTTTTGTATGAGAAATTAACTTGAGCTGTAAACTTTCACCTAAGGCGCAATTTCAAAAAAAAACAAAGCTTTAGGGGAATAAATTTAACCCTCCTCCCCCTCCAGAAAAAAAAGTTAGGCAAATGAACATGGGAAGAAAAGGAGAAATCCAACCTTACCCTCATACAACCCTTTACATGTCTCAAAGTGAGAAATCGGAGGCCTAGAAAAATTAAATAATTTGCCAAAATTTCATGGCTAGTAAATGGCAGAGCTCAAAGTAGCACCTAAGCTCCCACTTGCTCATAATCTAACATAATGATGCCCAACCCTTTAAAGTATATGGACTTTTTCTTTTAATTTCAGAAAGTTCCAAACCAGAATACACAAATCCATAGATACAGAAAGCAGATGAGTGGTTTCCAGGGATGGAGGCGGGGGGCGGGGAGGTATGGGGAGTAACTCCTTAGTGGGTTTCCACTTAATGGGTTTCTATCTGGGGTGGTATCAAATTTCTGGAACTATACAGTAGTGATGGCTACACAACATTGTGAATGTACTTAATGCCACTGAAATATATACTTTCAAATGGTTAAAATGTTATTTTAGCACAATTTTAGAGAGTTTCATCAATTTCCTACATGATAACAGGTATACCTTCAGTAGACAGTAATTACAGATATACATTTAAAAGACTAAAAACTCAGTATTGCTTTTAGTTACTATTTTATTAATCACTGCAGCAAAATACTCTTAAAAACAGTATTTATAAATATGTGAAAATTACTAATTCAGTCTACCATATTTGAAGCTCAAATTTGATTTAATTTGGTAAGTCCCCAAGGAGTCCATGACCCACAAGATGGGAATCACTGATTCATGTTCTTTATGTTCTTTCTTAAACAAAAACAACAAAGCTCGCTTCCTGATGCTTAGAAATGATGCTTAAGGGGGCTTCTAGAAGTGGTCCTTCAATGAGGTAACCATATGCCATCCATAGTTCAGAAGGCCAGAGTGCTAGATTTTATTTTCTTTACATAAGCATTGCAATGCATTTTAGACTATCTTCTTCGAAATTCATTTAGAATTTAATGTGCTTTATAAATTTCTTGTAAGTTCTAAGTCCCCAGAGTAGGTTTTAAATAAATTATTTCTATAAGGATAAAAATAAAGCCAACAAAAATATTTATCAAATTCCACTATACCCATGGCACTGTAAAAGATACAAAGAAGTATGTGAATGGTCCCTGCCCAAAAGGAACCTGAAATAGTCAAGAAGATTTAAATTCATGAAAACTTAAATACTATAAATGGTTTCAATGACAGCCTAAGACACTAAAAGAAGCACATATGTTGATTACTACCTGCCAGATGAACAGAAAGGCAAAAGCTGCTACAGGGTTTCAAACCAAAAAACCAAACCCACTGCTGTCAAGTTGATTCTGACTCATAGTGACCCCACAGGGTTTCCAAGCCTGTAAATGTCTATGGAGGCAGACGGCCACATCTTTCTCCCATGGAGCCACTGGTGGTTTCAAATCGCTAACCTCTCGGTTAGCGGTCGATCGCTTTAACCACTGTGCCACCAGGGATCCGTACAAGGTTTCAAAGAAGGGAGGAGCAATTACTCCAGTCTATGGTGGTGGGAAAACGCTCTACAGTAGAAATGGATTTTGAATGAGAGTTGCATCTTGAAGAACGAGCAAGATTTGGGGTGGTGAGGCAAAAATAAGACAGGATATTCTAAGCTTTATTCAATTCACTAACCGCTTGCTGAATTCTCATTCCGTGCCAAGTACCAAGAATACAAAGATGAGATGGTCTGTGTGACCCGTGGGCAAATTCTGCTTTGTGTGTCTGAAACCACCCCAAAAACTTACAATACTATACAATTAATTACTCTCACCCTCCACACTGGAGAACAATTGTGATTGGCAGATTCTGACTGCTGACTATTGTCTGAATATAGGCCACACCTTAATCTGAATTTGTCTTCCCTAAAAGGTGAATTTTACATATTGCAACAAACCCAAGGTGCGATGCTTGAAAGCTTCCTGTACGAGAATCTCTTTCCAGAGTTATGTTTACTTACCATTTAACGATGCCATCAAAAAACAGAGCAGACTTGCCTACTGAACCCAGCTTAGGTAAGGAATGGAGATACGACTGGATCTCAATATTGCCCATCACTTCCGCCCCCAGGAGGGTAATAAAAAGGGTCAGAGGCTCCTCTCCTTTGAAGCAGTTGTCTGACTAACAGGAAAAATCATTTGTGTGCCTACCAGTCTAAAAACCTGGGTGGAGGTTGGCTGGGGTGTACTTTAGATAAAATCTGATTATTTTTTATTTTTATTTTTTAATTTTGCTTCTTGTCAGTGAGGCAGAAATACATAAAGAAGAAAACAGCAGTCATCCATAATCTCACTAACCAAAGTAAAGGATCTGGGGCATTTTCACATATTTTCCATTGAAGGTTTTGATCAGGGAAGTGATGTTATTTTAAGGAGAATAAGCTGACAGTAGTGTATAGGTGGGAGAAGCACAACAGAAAGGAGGCCACCTAAGAGGCTGCCATGAAGAGTACTAATGCCGCAAGCGCAGCTGCTGTCTACTGAGCATCCTGGCTGCACACGGCACCATCTGAAGTCCTTTACATTCACTCTGTTCCTCTCTCAGCCCTAACAGGCAGGCATTGTTTTCAGGGAGTCCCTGAGCGCTGCAAATGGTTAACACACTTGGCTGCTAATCAAAAGGTTAGTGGTTCGAGTCCACCCAGAGGCACCTCGGAAGAAAGGCCTGGTGATCTACTTCTGAAAAATCAATCACTGACAACCTATGGAGCACAGTTCTCCTCTGACACACGAGGTCGCTGTGAGTGAGTCAATTTCATGGCAACTGTTTTTTTTTCCTTCTAATTTTATTGTGCTTCAGGTGAAAGTTTACAACACAAATTAGTTGCTCATTCAAAAATTTATGTACAAATTGTTTGGTGACATTGGTTGCAATCCCCGCAATGTGTCATCATTTCATAATTTTGCCCCCACCCTCTAAAGGCCTGACTGGCCCAAGATGAGTACATGATCTGAGCTGGGTAAATCTAAATATCCCACATCTGGCCAAAATCCCGGCCAGAGTGCTACTCTGAGGCCTTTTCTGCACTATAGAACTAGGAAGTAAAGTCAGTTCTTCTCTGGTGGTAAAACTGTGAGGGGTGAAATGTGGAAGTATAAAATAGCCTTAATTCTTGTCCTGTGGAGGACAGTGAAGAGTGCCTGCAGAAAAGCAAATACCTCTGAAAAGTTTTCAAATAAAGCTACAAAATAAAAAAACTTTCATACCTCATCAGCACAAAATATATCAAACTTCCGCCAGGAAAAGGGAAAAAGTATGTTAGCATTAATATTACTAACCTTGTTTGTTCTTGGGTTCAACATAAGTGGCTTGCCTTTCTCTTTTCTGTGCAAATGACGACATACCAAATTACAAGGACTGGCAACTACTCTTAACCGAGGTAACATCTTTTCTTTCCCCTGGGAAAAGCAAAGCAAATGTAACCACAAATGATAAATAAATTACAGAACAGCATATACATTTAAGTATCAGATTTCAAAAACAGATTTAGAAAGTGTGTTAGTTATCTAGTGCTGCTATAACAGAAATACCACAAGTGGATGGCTTCAACAAACAGAGGTTTATTCTCTAACAGTCTAGGAGGCTAGAAGTCCAAATTCAGGGTGCCAGCTCCAGGGGAAGGCTTTCTCTCTCTGTCAGTTCTAGGGGAAGGTCCTTGTCATCAATGTTCACCTGGACTAGGAGCTTCTCAGGCGCAGGGACCCCGGGTCTGAAGGATGTGCTCTGCTCCCTGCACTGCCTTCTTGGTGGTATGAGGTCCCTGTCTCTCTGCTTACTTCTCTCTTTTATATCTCAAAAGAGACTGGCTTAAGACGAAACCTAATGTTGTAGGTTGAGTCCTGCCCCATTAACATAACTGCCACGAATCCCATCTCATTAACACCACAGAGATAGGATTTACAACCCATAGGAAAATCATATCAGATGACAAAATGGTGGACAATCGCACAATACTGGGAATGGCCTAGCCAAGTTGACAGATATTTTTGTGGGACACAATTCAATCCATGACAGAAAGTTTATCTTTCAACATGTGAAAAAGCTTTTTCAAAAGACCTTCATGTCAGTCTCTTCAACAAATGGTGCTGGGATAACTGGATTTATACATGCAAAAGAATGAATCTGGAGCCATGCCTCACACCGTATACAAAAATTAACTCAAAATACATCAATGACCTAAACATAAGAGCTAAAGCCATAAAACTCTGAGAAGAAAACATAGGGGTAAAGCTTCAGGACATTCTTTTAGGCAATGGATTCTTAGGCATAACACCAAAAGCATGAGCAGTAAAAGAAAAAAATAAACTGTACTTCATGAAAATTAAAAACTTTTGTGCATCAAGGGACATTATCAAGAAAGTCAAAAGACAACATACAGAATGGGAGAAAAGATTTGGAAACCATATTATCAGATAAGGATTTAATATCCAGAATATATAACGAAATCCTAAAACTCAACAAAAAGACAAACAACACAATTAAACAATGGGTAAAGGACCTGAATAGACATTTCTCCAAAGGAGACATACAAATAGCAAATGAGCAGATGAAAAGATGCTCAACATCATTAGGGAAATGCAAATCAAAACCACAATGACGTGCCACGTCACACGTACTAAGATGGTGCAAATGGTTAACGTGCTTGGCTGCTAATCCAAAGGTTGGAAGTTCGAGTCCACCCAGAAGTACCTCAGAAAAAAAGCCTGGGGATCTACTTCTGAAAAATAAGCCACTGAAAACACTATGGAGCACAGTTCTACTGTGACACACGAGGGTTACCATGAGTCACAACTGACTCGACAGCACCTGGAAAAGGATGGCTATTATCAAAAAATAACTGTTGGTGAGGGTGTGGAGAAACTGGAACACTCCTACGTTGATGGTGGGAATGTAAAATGGTGCAGCCTCTGTGGAAAAGTTTGGTGGTTCCTAAAAAAGTTAAACACAGAACTACCATATCAGCCAGAAATTATACTCCAAGGTGTATACACAATACTTGAAAACAGTGACTCAAGCAGACTCAGGTCCATCAATGTTCACTGCAGCTTTAGTCACAATAGCCAAAAGGTGGAAACAACCAAAATGCCCATCAGCGGAGAAAAAGATAAACAAAATGTGGTATATATACACAATGGAGTATTATTCTGCCATATAGAGAAATGAAGTTCTGATATATGCCATCACACAGATTAACTTTGAAAACAATTATGCTACATGAAATAAGCTAGACACAAAAGGACAAATACTGTATGACCCCACGTATATGAAGTATCTAGAATAGATAAATCTAAGGAGACAAAAGTAAATTAGTGGTTACCAGGGGATAGGAGGAAAGGAGAATGGGGGAAAATACTCATTTAGTATTCATTTGTTTTATGCAGTATGTTATTCTCTTTAAGCTCTTAAGTACATTTATACTAAAATTATAGTGATGTATTCCTTTAGATAATAATAAATACCTAAATAACACTGCTATAAAATGAATGTTAGTTTATATTTCTGTTTGATAACCATAATGTAAATTTCCATGCATGAGTTTTTTTAAAAAATGATTTCAAAATAAACAGACAAAAAAAAAAAAAAAAAAACCCCAGTGAGAAAAAATAAATACTTCTTGGAAGAAGTGAGATAGGGAATATAAAACACATTTGGATGAAGAAGGGGGATATATCTGGTGGCAAGGAGGGGAACAGAAATGGCATTTTGAATGATTTGGGAATAACGTGGAATCTGTGGACTGACAAATTATGGGATTTTGGGTTTTTATAGTTTAAAATCCTTTAGGGAATATTGCAGCAGACATTTAACCTTGTCTTTTTCAGACAGGGACAGTGGGTTTAACTGGGTTGGCCAAGGTCATGCAACTAATAAATGACAGAATTAAAACCTAAATCTAGAACTCATGCATACAAGTCTGGAGCTCTTCCCACTCCAGTATACTGGTGCAGAAGTGAACTAAACTTAGGCAACAAAAGACCCTCAAAGTCTGTGACTCTGGAAAGGGGAGCCTTGTGGCCATTCCCTGCATTTTGCTTTCTAAACCTGTTTTTAAAAATCCTCAACTAAAAAATCTATTACAGTGGAGTTAACTCATTCACACATTTATCTTATAGTCCTACAACTATACAAATAAAGAAAAAAAGAGAGAGATTAAGATTTACTGATACAGGCAATTCCACTTGTCTTTCTGTTAAATAAGCTTATGCCCCTGAGACCATGAGGAGACAGAAGTAAATCTGGCTATTCTCTTAGAAGAGTTCTTATTCTAAGTATGATTATAGTGTTTAGAGGCATGCATATTTCATAAAACATTAAACCCAAAAAACCAAAACGGTTGCTCAAAGTTCCAACACTGAAAGAAAAACTATTACATTTACTGCAAAATGGCATATTGGTCTCAAACGTGGTGCCTAAACATGACCACAAAAAATGAATATGCTCACTGGCACCACCAAGAACCGAGAGAGACATACCACGAAATAACTGATGTTTTCTGCAAAAATGTTGATGTCATAAAAGACAAAGACTATGGAACTACTGCGGTTTAAAGAAGACGAAATAAACAAATATGACAACTAAATATAAAATCATCCCGGACTGGATTGTATATTGGAAAAAAAATTGCTGTGAAAGACATTACTGAGCTAAATTAACCCAAACTGGAAAGTCACGGTAGATTACATAAAAGTATTATATAATGTTAAAATTTCTGAATTTGATAACTGTACTGTGGGGTTATGTACATCTTTGTTCTGAAAATGCACACTGAAGTATTAAGGGGTAAAGGGGCATAATGTATGCAACTGATCCTTTGAAACAATTTTAAAATAAAGACAGCAATCTAAATAGTAGCATCAAGTGCACTAATAAATGCTAGAGTAGCAACCCAATTGCATAAGACCTCAGTGAAGACTGAAATAGTATTAAATTTAGGTTTGGAAGGTACACCTTTTAACTATGTACCTACTGATAGCAACATGTTAACATGTTACAAGGAAAGGCTTTGGCTTCACTTCTCTCTTCAAATTTCCCACTAAAGAGGAGAAGCCTTCTGATGAGTTTAAAGCCACCCAAGGATACAGCTTCAGAACTTCAGGAACTACATCAACCACAAAAAGAATGCAGACTGCTAGTGAGGCTGCATTTGTTTATAAAGACAAAACAAAAGCCTAGTTTGACCAAATAAAGAAAATACCAGAAGAAAAAAACTATCTTTCTAGAACAAGATTTTTAAAACAAACTTTTTACTTTCCAGTAATTACAGATTTACACAAAAGTTGCAAACATAGCAGAGTTCCTATATATCCGCCTTTACCCAGTTTGTTTTCTCTAATGTTTCGAATGGGTTCTTCTAGGAAAAAAAGAAAAGCCCATCATGCTTTAATTTCATCATTAGAAAGACTAGGCACTGGCTTCAGAGCATCTCAAAGTTGTTTTATGCTCTAAGCAATATTATTTTATGGTAGTGTAGTTAGGCACTTGAAGCTGGGCTTGCCTTTCTTAAAAAACAACAGGCTGGCGGCCTTTTTTTTTAATAAGTCTCTTGAACTAAGAATGGTTTTTACATTTTTATACGGTTGTAGGAAAACAAAGAGTATGTGACCCCCAAAGCCTAAAATATTTACTATCTGGCCCTTTACAAAAAAAGTTTGCCGACCCCTGTGCCCCAAAAGGCGAGAAGTACAATCTCCTGTTTAACTCCAGGTATGTGCACATGCATGCACTCAAATGCACACTCACATGTACACAAACGCGCACACACACACACAGAGGTTTGAGTGGTGGCAGCACCACTGGATTAGTTCCACATGTATTTCAATCCAGAGGTCAGGCAGGACTTCAAATACAGGATATTTTTAAGTACTGCTGATAACTTATACTCCTGGGCACTGAAACACTCGTCTGCTGGTAACTATGTTGAAGCTGTCTTCAAACCGTACCACTTCCCTTCAGGAATCTCTGAAACAAGGTGTGATTTGCTATTTCAAGACTATTTGCACAAGGCTTCTAGTCTCACCCACACATAAGATAACTGTGGATGGTGGTCCCAATATTAAGAGTGATGTGGTGTTGGACATTCTTCAACATTACCAATGAAAGCATCACTTATATTAGTCACGGATGCAGTCAAACTTTAAATAGTCAGAGCATACAGGTAAATGGGATGGATGTGTGAATAATTTGAAAGGTTTCCTGATCTTTCAGAAAAAAAGTGAAAAGCATTGTACAGGCGGCCAGATCAAGAGAGTAGTGATGGCTTTGCTCACATCTTCAAGGAAGAAATTTACAAATTAATTAATTAAAGAAGCAATGACAAAGAATGTACAAAACAGGAAGAACTGAGGAAAACCCAGCAATTTGAACTCTTCATAAATTTACTTAAGTATTCAAAAATGATTT